TCCTAGGTTTTGCTTCTTTTTGTCACCTTAAACTAAAACTATCTCACACACCATTAATTATATATTTTACAGGCATTCACAACACAGGATAACCTATGGCCAAAAGTATCATAACTTCATTCTATCATCCCAGACAAGAATATATTTAGAGGTTTACAGGAATCCATTCCCCCACGTTCCTCTCAGAGATTACCAATAGCCATCCAACTTTTCCATCCTTATCGGACCTATTAGATCTACAACCATTCAATTATACTACAAAGTAAGCCATTACCAGCCATGCACATTGCCTTCTATGCCTTTCTCAGGCCAGAGAATCCACTACCATCACCGCCACTCAGACAGATCATTATCTTCAACGATCCCACGTATGTAAACACATATATCATTACCTATTGGCTCTCCCACATTCCAAAACGAGTCAACACGCACCAACAGTAGCAATAACATACTATCCTACCCACAACAAATGGTGTCCAGTTGCGGTCCTAGATTCCTACTTTCAAAATTCTTCCAGGAATTAAATACCGTAATGCATTTATGGAAATGTCTGGTTAATTTGTACATACTGTTGACTGTATTAAATCTTTGATTATTCATTTTTGCCCTCTTTATTTACAGGCCTACCATATCGTCGGTCTCGGCACACCACAACAGACTTGCTCCCTTACTATCCTACGCTTATGCTGGAACCTTATTCCATATACGGCTATTTGCCCCTTACATAAGTATTAAGGCCGTTTGTCCTGTATTTGTGGGAGGGGCTTAAATTAATTCACTCCCCTATATAAGGGACACCCCTTACCTGACTCCATATCGCTTGAGGTCAGCATCAGAATGACCCTCCCACCCACTCCTCATTTCAACACTTTCTCTTTTCTTTCAATTTACATAGTTACATAGCTGAAAAGAGACTTGCGTCCATCAAGTTCAGCCTACCTCACATTTGTTTTTTGCTGTTGATCCAAAAGAAGGCAAAAAAACCCAGTTTGAAGCACAATTTTGCAACAAGCTAGGAAAAAAATTCCTTCTTGACCCCAGAATGGCAGTCAGATTTATCCTTGGATCAAGCAGTTATTACCCTACATTGAAAGATTATATCCTTGAATATTCTGTTCTTGCAAGTATGCATCTAGTAGCCGTTTGAACATCTGTATGGACTCTGATAAAACCACTTCCTCAGGCAGAGAATTCCACATCCTGATTGTTCTTACAGTAAAAAAACCTTTCCTTTGCCTTAGACGAAATCTTCTTTCTTCCAGTCTAAACGCATGGCCTCGTGTCCTATGTAAAGTCCGGTTTGTGAATAGATTTCCACACAATGGTTTGTATTGGCCTCAAATATATTTGTATAATGTTATCATATCCCCTCTCAGGCGACGTTTTTCTAAACTAAATAGGTTTAAATTTGTTTACTTTACTTTCTTACTCCTTGGTGGGCCCTCTTTATTTACAGGCCTACCGTATCGTCGGTCTCGGCACACCACAACTGACTTGCTCCCTTTATAATATCCTACGCTTATGCTGGAACCTTACTCCATATACGGCTATTTGCCCCTTACACAAATCAAAGGAAAAGTGACCAAAAAAAAGGGAAAAAAGTGAGGAGCGGTAAAAACACAAAAACGATATTTATATATATTCTGTATAAGATTACACATGGTGGGCATGCAACCGCCATCAATGGGAATGGAATTTTGAGTATATCGTACTTATACATTGATTCAGAAACATTCAGTGATAAAAAATAAAGACTTTGTATGAACAAAACTTGTCCTTAAATTGTAAAATATTCAGGTGATCAGAGAAAATGAAAAAGAAATAAAAATTGAACATGCTGAGATATATTATAAAAGGAGTGATAATTTCAAGATATTTAAATATTGATTTATTACCGTCCCTCCATTTTTCCTCTCTAATGGTTACTTCTTCTCACTTGATCTGTGAACCATATGGCACAAAACTGCACCTATCCGTGTACTGCAAAATGTATACTTAGGGGCGACCGTCCTACACTGCTCCTATACCAAGTGGCCAAGTGAAAAATATTCTTGTTTTTTTACCCCCAGCTTTGCTATTTTAGCCAATATTTTGCAAGTTGATTGACAACTCATTTTATGGTGAAAATTCCATTAACCTAAGCATTTGTCATGAATTTCAACTTGGATTGAACATCTGTATGAAAGTTAATTCTTTTTTCTTCATTTCAGTAAGATAAAAAACATTGCCATTGTGAATACATTTTCTTTTTACAATTTTTTTATTGTAAGTGACGATGTTCCAGCCATCTTACATTTCTGAAAGCTGTGATATCGCCACCTAGGGTTTAATTATTAAAACTACACGTGAAATGTACGTCTGGTAACTCATCCCGCACACATTCAATCAAAATTACCCTTATAAAATGCATTCTTAAATTTGAATCATTCCTTATAGACAACTATGATTTATAGTTGGTAGACAACATATATATATATATAGATATATATATACATACACACACACACGTATACATATACATACATATTCATATGTGGTGGCTGTGGGGTGCAGGAAAGATATCCAAGATGTTTGCAGGCACCCCTGAAACTGTACCTTAAAAATAAATTCAGACTATTTTTTCTAGACAACAATTGATTTGTAATCACATTTACTCTTTGATCAATTGGCCTTCCTTTTCCATCCATAGGTCAGTTCCTCTCACAAACAGATACAGTAGTAAAGACTTATAGTCTTCAGTTCTAAAAAGTGGTGCAAAAATACAAAGGAGGAGGAGTCAACAATGGAATGTGGCCTACTGATTCCACTGGTTTCCATGGTAATTTCTGCCTATTTAGTACATTACATTACTTTTTAGCACGTTAGATGTTGGTAAATCTTCTCCAATGTGGGCATTCACTCCTCTAGCAACCTGTGGCTATGCCATACAATGCAATGTAAGGTACAACGAAATAGGCAGGATGGCATTAAACAGGTACCAGATTGACTGGATCAACCAGTTACCAGACAGTTAGAAGACATGGTTTGATGCTTTTTATGCAAGTAGATGCATCAAAATGACCAAATTCATACAGATGTATTGTTGCTTCAAGTAAGTCCTCTTTATTATAGATACGAAGACAATATCAACAACGTGTGTATGAATTCCAGCCTCTACAGGAACCACAAAAGTCTAGGTTTTTGGAATCTATTCATGAAATATTAGATTGTGGTGAGTTGATCACGGTCTTTCAAGGTTTACAGATAAACAGCCTGTCTAGAAAAATAAGCTCAATGGATCTCTTCCCCCAATGTGGCTATTCTGTCCTGCAACCTAGCTGACTAGTAGGAACTCATCCTCTGGTACCAAGGCTCCCATCAAACTATTAATAGAATTTCCTACCTCCATCCATAAATATATCCAGGCATTGTCTTCCATAACATTTCTCTTAAAAAGAAACCCAATACCTGTAAAAATAATATAGGTATATTTTACAGTAAAATATGATATTAATCAATCATTTTACTGTTCCCAATCTCATAATCCTAAAAAGACTGATCTGTTAAAAAAATCTTAACAGTTCAAATAAAAAGACAGCTTATAGGAGGTTAGTCATAAAATATACAACACATTTCTAGAAATAAAAATGAGTTGTAATAAGGAGTGTTGCTTGTGTCCATCCGTCCAAATCAATGTAAAGAATACGAACGTAGAAATGCTGAACTTAGTACTACTTTGTTTGGATTTTCAATCCATGGTATAATTTTACTATATGTGTAATTATACATTTTATACACACAATTTGGATGTTGAGCAATAGTTGTATATACTTTATGTAGTGGCAGAAACAGAAACCTGACACAGAATATATCAATTTATGCAGTGGAGTAGGGAGATTTTCCACCAATTCCAAATAATAGCTACGTTTGACCATTGTTCCTTTTTATGAATTTTTTAATAGCTAGTCCTTGCCAATGATAATGATTTCATTTAGACTTTTTTTTTACATATTGCAAATTGTTTGAATTGTAGCCAGTCAGTGGGTCGTCTAAATTCTTTAACTCCAAAGCGCGATATGGACGTTTCAGGAAACGAAAAAAATGACAGACAATAGCCGATAGATTTGTTTGTTTTGTGATTTGGTATTCCGTCTGTGGTGCCCAAAAAAATGGTCAGGGGACAGCGACACAATCAAATAAAAAGAAGAAATAGAAGAAATAAAACAAATGAGAAATAAACCAGGGATCTGTCGAGCTTAAAATATGCAACTGAATTCTCAAAGTAATCATTGACTGAATTTGGACTGACTTTGAATGGTAATATGTCATTCTATTTGGTTGATCGAATGTAGCGGAACGCTAGTCCTGACAAGGACATTTCCCCCACTGGATCTGTGAAGACAGGAATCCTGGAACAAGGCACTGTGAAGTGAATAGCTCTATCCCTCCCCAGTAACTGAATGACACACAGTTCTGGGAGTACAATTGATTTATTTCACACAAACTCAACCTTTTATGCACAGACACCAAGCCCCTCCTAGGCGTCCTTGTGTCTGGGAGATAATTGAGTCAAAACTGATTAACTCAATTATCTATTAGTTACAGGAAACATATGTAAAACACCCCAAAAACATATTCATAATTCACAGGAACCCCACAAGCCCAGATCTGAGCGCCTAAGTTGTCCAAATAGCGCTCAGATCTATTCAGTAGAACGGAATTGCCATTCGGGTAAAGTTCTGACCGTATGGCCAGGAGGTGATGTCCCACAACAGTTCCAGAGAAATGAGGTCCATGGCTGGTCAACTTTCGGGGGTTCCTCTGCGAACACCAGACAAATGCTCCTCCTGACTTGTAGGGAGCAAATGCTCCCCCCAGTCAGTAGTTCCCATCTCCCGAACTTCGTTCGTCTAGGGTTTCTAGGTTGACGATGAACTTTAGTATTTTTTGCAACCTAGACTATTATGTAATTATGAATGTGATAGAGTGTCATATTTCCTATGTGTCTCTATCACAGAAGGATTGCAGCCACCAGCCATGCTGAAACTTTGAATGGCTGCCTGCTTTTCCCTCAACCAAGGTACAGGGCCATCTTTTTTTATTTATTGAGTATATGTATGCCTGTGTGTTCTTGTCTGTATGTGTCTGAGTTTGTATGTGCTTGTCTGTGTGCCTGTCTGTGTGCCTGTCTGTGTCTGAATGTAGTCTATACCTTCTGGGCTTGTCTCTGCGTGCGCCTGTGTCCATGTGCATATGTCTTTGTATTTCTGTGTATGTGCCTGCCTGTGTGTGCGTCTGTCCGTCTGTATGTGTATCTATGTGTGTCTGTAAAGAAGTGTGATTATACCAAAAGGCGTGTTAAGCAGTGGAATTGGGGTCAGGGATGGTGCCTTAGGAATAAAGTCCACATTTTTGGGAGCTCTTTTTTTTATTTTTACCCTAGCAAAGCTTCTTCTCTGCTTAGCCCATGGGTTGTCCGATGCAAGTTATAATAACTATACACTTTTTTAGTTGTTTTTCTGTTACTCTAGTAAGATAGAATATTTGGAAGCAAATGAATGAATGCTACCTTTCCATAAACCAACAATTATCATGCCAAAAAAATAGATTTCAACTTGCTTTTCTTTGCAAGCTACGGTTTCAATTTATGAAACTGCACACAGACAAAAATCCCTGCAGCAGCAACAGCAGCGTCTGGAGGAACATACAAAACCAGTTTTTTTTTTAATCAGAAAAATGTGCATGTTTCAAAGTGGGGAGGGGGTGGGGTGTACTCAAGCTCTGATTTCACTCAGATCTTAAAATCATTTGTAACATTATGAACTGACGTTTTAAAGGGATCACATGGCCAAGCTCATCTGGGGTTTCTGAATGTTGAATTTTCTATGGACGTTTTGATTTCCCCCCCTAGAGGACACACAAGAAATTTTATGCAGAAAAAAATAAATCAAAACATCCAGACAGGTTAGTCTATAATAGGTGGCTCTGCAATTGATATAGGGTGAGTTGGAGCTGGGCATGAAAAGTTTGAAAGGGACAGAAGAGAGAATTGAAAACTCTTATACATCAAGATGCCCAGTGCATTAAAAACAATTGTATCTGAGTCTGAGCTGCACACAGCTGTAAACTGATCCTTGCTGTGTTTTGTCAGGAATTTGTAGTTAATTCACTGAGTGTCAGCCTTTGCCCATAGCTAAAGCTTCAACATCACACAGCCTCAACCAAGGGTTCGCTGTTAACCACAAGCATCTTCCTATCCCATACAGCTTGCAAGCTCTGCATTCCCAGCAGAAGGATGGCGTGAAGAGTAATGGAAAAAATCCACAGTGAATGACCTGGAGCACAAAGAGACCAAGATCCTGGAACCTTTTGTTTCTTTTTAGTTGAAAGCTTGCTATTAAAGAAATTTATATTTTTTTTAAGTCTTTGAATTGTTTTTAATGTTTTTTAAAAAGAAAAGGAAATAAAAACAAAGTCGTTCATAGAAAGTTGGAAGGTTCTCCACCATCTCCTCAAGGTTCAGTGCTGGAAGACGTCTTGTTATCTTGGGAGTTACTTTTTTCTGAGATTTAATATTGGCAGGGATTTTGAGGTCTGGAATCATTTTTTAAGCTTTTTTAATCTTGGCTGGTCCTTGGCTACTCGCAGATTTCTTTGGATGGGCTAACAGAAGCAGTCGATAGCTATTCAGAAGATATTAAGAAGAGTACGTATTTTTGGCATTGGTTGGTTCACTGTTTAAGATGTTGGTCTCTGGCTTTATCTTTCTGGCTGGCGTGGTTGGTCTTCTAAAAGGATGCCAGTTGCCCCAAGACTGGAGACCACAAACAGAAGCTTGCAGGGCAGAACTGGTGGAAACTATAATGTTTGCCAAAGTACTAGCAATTCACAAGGACAGTTACAGTGTGTACAACTACTTGCCCTGGCAATATGACTCGGACCTCTTCTACTCTGCGGAAATTGAGCTGGTCTGCGACCAAGGCTGGGGGAGCATGCTTGAGGTTCCTGCTGGTTCCAGGCTTAATATAACAGGACTGGGCTATTTTCCCTGCCACTCGTACACTGTGATGGAAAATAATTCCTATTACTTCTTTTTAAGGTAACCACTAACCCATTCCAAAAATATATTTAATGTATGGCTTATGGGGATTCATTTATTACACCATATTAACTGTATGCTGAGAGAGTCACATAAAAGTTCTATGTGCGCTTTTGTCCCTTACAGTTATCTGTCCCAAAATGCTTTGCTCTTGAGACAGATTACAGAGGATGCTACAAAAGGCTCTGATGGAACTTCCATGTGGCCACGTCAAAATACACATGACAATTATTTGATTCCTTTTTTTCCCCACAATCTTTTTCGACTAGCAAATAATAATAATAACAAAGTATTTACCCAGGGAAGGTACATTTCCATTCACTCTGGTTTTCAAGTACGTCCTGGGGATGTTACCTTAGCCCTACATTCAGGGGTTGTTACAAATGTAAAAATACAACTAATAATTCTATCATATGACTCAGGATTACTCCAGAGCTACTTCTAATGTGTTCCCCCCCCAGCATTGAAACAGTTAAAGTTAAATTTACCATTTGGCTTCTTCTATTGCACTGCTTCCCCACAGAATGAATTTCAGTGCATGCCTGCCCTATTAAACTGCTTTTGTGCTGGTGTGAATATTTTAAAAACATTAAATTAGTAGTTAGAGTAGGTTCGTGAAGGATCTTGTATATTCCTGCATTCAATTAACCAACCTAATCTTCACCATACAACCAACTGTAATTACATATGGTACAAGCTTGGCGACCCATTCTTTAATTATAAATCCCAGGGGGCCATTCATCATATGTTCAGCAAAACCCCTTTATTAGACTGCTGCCAGTGTTGTATTGGGTTTCCGAAGCATAGCAGAAGGCAGAGCAGCTACATTAACTTTGCTATTGGGCAATTGCTTGGCACCTTATCAATATGATGAACCCCTTTCAGTCGTAGGGGATCCAACTCAGAATCCCAACCCAGAATTTAAATCGGAACAGTCACTTTGTGGGTCTTTGAAGAAGTTGTAAAGACCCCCACTACTTCCCAATGGTACATGGCTGCTGGTATTGGGAGTGGGAAAAAGTAAATGGGAGACATTCTTACCGGAAGCTCTTCCATTCAGTGTCCTTTTTCAGGTGTGAATGAATACAAAACAGAGAATTACGGAACAAAATGTGAGAATGAAGAAGGTGCCTTGAACAGAAGCTCTGCCTTTTGTCAGTTTTACAATGGCCATAAGAGTAGTCCCTACTTTACCTTATATTTTTGCATTGGAATTTCAATGTATTAACCTCCCATTGGATTAAACAGTCACAACATATCTTTATTGAACTGGTGGCCCCTGCTTTAGCACCAATGACGGCTACCAAATTTGTCTTGAACCAGCTGATCAATCCTTCTTGTGATTGGGGATATTTTAGTTTATTCTCCTACAAAGAAATTGATTAAAGGTCATTTTGACCTCTAGGAAATCAGTTGTTGGCTGTAGTTTCAACTCTACGGCTTTCTTATTCTTCTTCTTATCTTTCTTGGGTCTTTCGGGTCAAACTTGTGCTGAACTTTCTCATTTTCTGCCTGATGACAAAGAATCTAATAAAAATTATTTAAATGGGTACTCCAGATCCCTAAAGCAATTTGATTTGCTGAAGTGCTTTATGTGTGAAGAGTGGTTCACTTATTTTACAGAAAGTGTAGATTTCAGCACTTTTATAAATTAACCTTGTTACACTCCCCCAGCTGTCAATCAGACAACAGTCTGGTTACTTCCTGGTTTGGTTAGCTCAGTGGAGATAAATTCCAGAGGCAGAAAATTGGTCAAAGCACCTGCCTTGAAAAGACTTTTCATTAAGTTGCATTGGAAAGTATGTGATTGGACAGCCACAGAACGTCTGGGCTGGGAAGAAGGGGAGGGCTTGCAATGGCTTCTGACAAGAGATCTGCAGGTTTTACAAGTCGATTTTAGATATACCCCCAGTGAAAAAATACATAATTAAATGCATGCATTTCTTCTTTGGCTATATCTTCTAAACAGTGATTCTTTTCGGCAATGGAGTGTTCCTTTTCAGCAATGAATGTTAATTTCAGGTTATGCTACATTCAGCTTCATTTGACCAATCTACAGCACAAACTTTAGCCTGCTTCAGCCATTTGGTGTAGATTTAATTATATGTTTTTATAGTTTTGTTTTATTAAAGCTTAATGAAGTGGTCTTGGTGTCTGGTCCAGCTAGGGTTAACCCTTTTTTTTGTAAACATATCAGTTTCAGTTTCAGAGAAACTGCTATGTTTATAAATAGGTTAATCCAGCCTCTAGTGGCTGTCTCTTGACAGCTGCTAGAGGCGCTTGCGTGCTTCTCACTGTGAAAATCACAGCGAGAAGACGCCAGCGTCCATAGGAAAGCATTGTGAATGCTTTCCTATGAGACAGGCTGAATGCGCGCGCAGCTCTTGCCGCGCATGCGCATTCAGCCGAGGAGGAGAAGAGGAGGCTGAGAGGAGGAGGAGAGCTCCCTGCCCGGCGCTGGAGAAAGAGGTAAGTTTAACCCCTTCCTCTCCCCGAGTATGTTTTCCTGGCACTATAGTGGTCCTTTAATCTGCTCTGCCCTTATTCTGTTTTTATTTTGATGTGTTTTTTTTGTGGCTTTAACCCAGCATCTCTTGACACAAACTGGATGAAGATACACCCATAACAGTTCAGTATTCCATGGGAAGGTGGTTCACAAAGTTAAACTGGAGGCTCCTGGGAGATTGATGTGCAAACTTTGCCATATGGACGTATGTCATCTCCTAGACATGCTCAATGTTCTCCATATTTTATGTTTTGACTTTATTGTTATTATTGGTATTTTTATAGTGCCAACATATTCGGTAGTGCTTTAAGATATTATAAGAGGGGAAGATTTAACAATAAATGAGACATTTACAAAATGTTACAGGAGCAATAGGTTGATGCAAATCCTGCTCAAACAAGCTTACAATCTAGAGATGTGGGTTTACTTATGAATATACATATTTGTAAATGTAAATAACCCCAAATGTATGGATTAGTGAACATTCCCTCTACTTATGGGGAGCTTCCAATCAGTCGTTCATAGAATGTGCCCTCATTAAGTCTTATAAGTTTGCATGTGTTATTTTGGATGTTTTTGAAAGTTGACTCACCCATATCGCAGTACCCTTTTATGTATAGTTTGGGCTTTTGTTTTTTGCTTTTAAAATTGAAAACTTGTTTTTTTGTTAAATTCTTTATTTTGAGTCGTGACACGTAACAACGTGCAGTTGGTATTACAATGGTATGGCTTGCGCAGAAGCCTACATTGGCATAGTAAGACAGTTATATGGTTGGACAACATTGCGGTTTACGCAGAAGCTAATGTTGACGTGTTGTTGCAGGCTTGTATTTTAAATTGCAGGTATGATCATGTTCTGTCACTTTTTTGTAAAATATGTATTTTGGTCGTGACAAAGAATGGTACTCAATTGATTCAACTTTGTGGGGGCTTACGCAGAAGCCAGCATTTGCATTTTCAATACAAGATTTCGTGTTTACATGTTTACAGTGTTACAGTTTACGCAAAAGCCTTTGTTAACATTGTATTACTGTGGCGGTTCGTGCGGTCTCTTCAATTTCATGTACTGTCACTTTTCAATTTTATAACTTCACTAAAACATTAAAATCAAGCAAGAAGAAAGAGAAGAAAAATAAAGGTATAAAATGAGGATAACGGAGTGGGGGGATGTGAGATTCTCCCTGTGGGTGGTGTTGTTTGTGGTGAAGGGCCGTGTTCGCTGGTAAGGAGATTTGTAGTGTGATCATGCCATTGGCCCGCGGTCGCCGAGCGTAGCACAAGTGTTTGCGTACTTGCCCTTTGCAGGCAATCTTAGTTTACCCTATGCCCTTTGGAGTAGGTGTGTCGAGGATAATTCCTGTTCGTTGCAAAGGGCAGTGCAGTGGTATTTAGCGATAGAGCACTGGTACGAGGGGAGGGGGTATAAGGTGGTGGTGGTGGGGGGAAATGGGTGGGACCCGCTGTCGGGAGAAGTCAGGAGTCTGTGAAAGAGGGGTAGCCACTATCCCCCTGAGGGGGTGTGGAGTACGGGCTCAGGGGTCAATATAGTCTTGGTTCCCAGACCTTGAGAAAGTGTGTGTATGTGTCTCGTACCTGCGCCGTGAGTTTGTCCATGAGGAAGGCTTCTTTAATGTTGCCTATTACTCTGTCTATGTGTGAATCTGAAGCCATGTTTGCGCCAAAGCGCGTCTGGCTGCCAGGTTAATTTTGTTCACCAGTTTCTGTTCTCTGTTAGGAAGGTTGTCAATCGGTTTGGCTAGTAGGCAACTCCAGGGGTCTGGCTGTATTGGTTTTTTGAATATACCCCCACAGCCTCTCCAGCACACATCTGAGGGTGTTCTACCCATTCTAGTTTTACGGGGGTGGTGTACCACCTCATCAGTGTTTTATAACATTGTTCTTGGTGAATGACACAAATTGAGGACTTGGCAGCTGCCTCCCATATGTCTTGCCAATCCCCGCTATCTAGAGTTAGTTGGAGTTCAGCTTCCCACTGCAATATGTAAGAGGGTGTTTGGGATTCTTTCGTGGGTGCGCTTAGTTACTCATATAAGCGAGTGATGAGGCCGGCATGCGGTCCGTCGGACAAACATAACGCTTCATAAAATGTGGGCTTTGCTCTGGCCACTGCTGCTATGTCGGGTTTCTTAGCAAAATCTCGAAGTTGGAGATATCGAAAGTAATATTTGTTAGTTAGAGGGGCCCTGGTTTTTAGGTTATCAAAGGTGTGAAATATACCATCCAGAAACAGGTGGCAGTAGCGCTGTGCTCCCGTGCTCTCAAGGCCTCGGAAGTCCGTAGGGGTCATGCCTGGTAGAAAGGCTTTATTTCGGAGGTAAGGTGTCAGTGGTGAGAGAGGGTGTGTGAGGGCGTATTTGTGTGCTGTGGCGTTCCAGATCCGAATTGAATTTAGGATGGCAGGGCAGGAGGTGCGGAGCTCTGGGCGGTCGGGTCTCGGAACCCATATCCAGTACTGGGGTAGGTCGATGCACATAAGATATGTTTCTAGGTCAACCCACCTGTGTGTGTCTGGTGGTGAGTGCCATTCTATTATTTGTGCTAGGTGGGCTGCCAAGTAGTAGAGGTATAGGTTCGGGAGCCCTAGGTCCCCTCTGTTCTTTTCTGTTCTTTGGGGTATACAGTGTGTGTTTTGCTATTCTGTGCCTCTTCCCAGCCAAGATGAAATTGTCTATTGCAGTTTGTAAAGGTTTAAGATCTGCTACGGGTAACGCCTGGAAGATGAAGAGGAGGCGCGGGAGGAGGTTCATTTTAATGGCATCCAGCCGTCCTATACATGAAATAGGCTTGTCATGCCATCTGTCTAGGTCCCTATGTAGGGCTGTAATTAGCCGTTGGTGGTTTTCTGTGTATAGGTCCGTGGAGGTTTGTGTGAGCTTAACACCTAAGCAGTGGCGTACATACCAGGGTCGCAGGGGTCGCGGCTGCGACCGGGCCCGGCCCTCTAGGGGGCCCGGCCGCCCCTGCGACCCGGTATGTACCCACAGGGCCAGCCTCTTCCCCTGGGGGGCCCAGGAGCCGACCACCCCAGGGTCCCCCGAGGCTGGCCCTGCTGACACCCGGAAGGCGGGTGGCCGGTCGGGCAGGCGGGCGCGCGAGGGAGCACTCAGTGCTTCCTCTTCAGCTCCCTCGCGCACCGCACTGATACCGGAGCCGGAAGATGACTGAGTGCTCCCTCGCGCGCCTGCTTGCCTTCCCGACCGGCCACCCGCCCAGGAGCCCAGCAGCACCACTGGACCCCAGGGAATCCCCCCAGCACTCCAAAAGGTAAGGAGGCTGGGGGGATTACATTTAAAAAAAAATGTGTTAGTGTTTGAGTGTGTGTGAGTGTTAGTGTGTGTGTCTGCTAGTGAGTGTTAGTGTGAGTGTTAGAGTGAGTGTCTGCTAGTGAGTTTTAGTGTGTGTGAGTGTTAGTGTGTGTGAGTGTTAGAGTGAGTGTTAGTGTGTGTGTCTGCTAGTGAGTGTCAGTGAGTGTGTTACTGTGTGTGTCTTACTGAGTGTGTGTGTTAGGTAGTCTGTTTGATGTCTGTTAGTGAGTGTGTGTTTGTCAATGAGAGTGTATGTTTTGTAAGTGAGTGTGTATGTATGTCTGTCGCTGAGTGTGTCTCTGTCAGTAAATGTGTGTGTCTGTTAGCTAGTGTGTATGTGTCTGTAAGTGTGTGTGTGTGTGTCTTCAGCACTTACCTTTCTCCAGTGCCGGACTCCCTTGTGACCACGCACGCATTCAAACAGCCCATAGGAAAGCATTACTCAATGCTCACCTCCTCCGATCCTCCTCTTCTCCTCCCCGTCGGCTGTATGCGCACGCGCGGCAAGAGCTGCGCACGCATTCAGCCGGTCACATAGGAAAGCATTCATAATGCTTTCCTATGGACGCTGGCGTGCTCTCACTGTGAAAATCACAGTGAGAAGCACGCAAGCGCCTCTAGCGGCTGTCAATGAGAAAGCCGCTAGAGGAAATAGGGGAAGGCTTAACCCATTCATAAACATAGCAGTTTCTCTGAAACTGCTATGTTTATGAAAAATGGGTTAACCCTAGCTGGACCTGGCACCCAGACCACTTCATTAAGCTGAAGTGGTCTGGGTGCCTAGAGTGGTCCTTTAAGTGTGTGTGCATCTGCATGCACTGGTGTACATACCGCGGTCGCAGCCCTGTAACCCCTGCGACCAGGTGCCCACCACCATGTGTTGGGGGGCCCACGGATCAATTTTCGCACCGGGGCCCCATGGGTCATGTGTACGCCACTGCACCTAAGTATTTGATAGGTTGTGTGCTAATTTTTAAGGCTGTTGTACGTTGCAGCCATTGGATGTCTGTGTCTGAGAGCCCTATTGGCATACCAACTGATTTGTCTATGTTGATTCTGTATCCAGATACCTGTTGATACGTGTCTAGAATATTGAGAATATGAGGAATAGTTTCTCTCGGGTCTGTAATGGTAAGTAAGATATCATCAGTATATGCCGAAATTTTAAATTCTTCGGTTGCAACCTGTACTCCCTTGATCCCACGGTCTGTCCTTAATAGATGCAATAGGGGTTCCAATGCCAGAATGCCAGAATAAAAAGGAGGGGGGAGAGGGGACACCCTTGGCGGGTACCGTTTCTCAGTTCAAAAGGAACCGGCCGTGACCCTGGGATTAACATTTGCGCTCTTGGGGTGGTATATAGAGCTTGGGTCGCCCTTGTGAACATGGCGGGAAGGTGCATTTCCTCTAGGAGAGCAAACACGTAGGGCCATTGAATTCTATCGAAGGCCTTCTCCGCGTCCAGAGATAGGACCAGAGAAAGCATTCGCTTCTTGTGGGCCCACCATATTATGTCTACTGCTCGTCTCGTGTTTCCGTAGAGTTGTCTGTTAGAGACAAAGCCCACTTGATCTGCATGGACAAGTTTAGGGAGGATGAGATTGAATCTAGTGGCCAGGATCTTTGCATACACTTTAAGATCAAAGATGATGAGGGAAATGGGGCGATAGTTTGCCACATTAGTGTTAGCTCTGTCAGGCTTGGGAATCAGGACTACGTCTGCTGTGGAGAGGTCAACGTTGGGTGAGTCATTGTCTGTCCAGGTCTTGTACATCGCGGCTAGATGGGGGATCATTTGTTCCCTGAAGGTTTTGTAGTAGGAGCCATCAAACCCATCTGGGCCTTGGGCTTTACCCCCCCCTAAGGGCCGTGATTGCTCTATTTCGTAGTTTTTTATGGGTGCCCCTAAGGGCGCAGTTGTGTGCGCTGGGAGTAGCGGTATTTTAGCTTTCCGCAAGAAATCCGCGATTTGGTCCATGTGTGTTTTATTTGCTGTCGTAAGTGTCGGGGAGTGGTTGTACACTTGGGCATAAAATTTTGTGAATTCGTCGTTTATGTCCCTAGGACTATTAAGAATTCGCCCCTGTGTGTCTTTGATGGCGATGATATTGGATGTTGTGCGTTTGGGTCTAAGGGCCCGAGCTAGCAGTGTATCCATTTTATTGGATTTTTCGTAAAAGAAGCATTTGGTGCGGACCATATCTCTGCTGACATCGTCTAACATGAGCTCTCTAAGTTGTCGCCTTATGTCCGTCAGTTCTCTAGTGATGCGTGGGGTGGCTCTTTGCTTATTTTGCATTTCGGCCCTCCGCAAGAGTCTCTGTAACTCTGATAGCTTTTCGAGTTTTTTCTTTTTTAAGTGTGTGGTCATCTTAATGAGCAGTCCCCTAATCACGGGTTTATGAGCTGCCCATAGTGTAGTGGGAGATACGTCCGGGGTGTCATTTTCTTGAATGTAACGTGTGATTTCTGCTTGGATTGCCTCCCTTGTCTGGGGGTGTCTGAGTACCGAGGCGTTTAGTCTCCATTTCCATGGGGCGTGTGGGCCTGGTAGCTTAAGAGTTATGGCAATGTCAGCATGTTCGGACCATGAAATGAGGTTCAGGTCAGAGGTTTTTATCCATGACAAGGCCAGCGGGTTAACAAGGAACATGTCTATGTGGGAATAAGTAGTATGTTCTGCCGAATAGAAAGTGTAGTCCCGCACACTCGGGTGTTGGATGCTCCATGGGTCCAGTAAGCCCGTGTGGTTGAGGAAGGTGCTCAGGAGTTTATCTTGTCCTCCTTTATTCTGGGACCTGGGTAGGCAAAGGCCTCCTCCTATGTCTATCGCCGGGCATGGCATGGCATTTAGGTCTCCCCCTAATATCAAAATTCTCCTGGGAAGGCCTTGGATCAGCGTTTCCAGTTCGGTCCAGAATTCCCTGCAGGGAACATTGGGTGCATATACATTAATCAGGTGGTATGTATTAGAGTGAAGCGTGCCCGTCAGGACCACGTACCCACCTTCTCTGTCCTCATAGGTTTGGGTTATAGTGAGCGGGCAATTTTTATGGATTAGTATTTCAACCCCATTCCTCTTACACAGTGCCCGTGAAGCATACGCCCTGGTGTATACATGGTTTGTGAGTTGTGTCCCTGAGGTGCGTGGGAGGTGGGTTTCCTAAATGTATGCTATATCGGTTTCCTGCCATCTGAGTTCGCGGAAAAGGAGCCTACGTTTGTTTGGGCTGTTAAGCCCGTTTCCGTTCAGAGACATTAGTGTAAGCTCCATTCTGCGAGGTGGTGTCGTGATATAGAATACCTGGTTACGTGGGTGTGACTTGTCCGTGTGCGCTTCTAGTGTGGTTTGGGTGGTAGTGTCGTCTCCCGCAGCAGGTCCAGGAGGGGCGTACAGGGTTGGGAGGGGGATGGGAGAGGTACAGGGTAGAGGGTAAGGAAGAAGAGTAGGAAAAGGTCGGCCGCGTAGGTTATTAGGCCGAAACTAGTAGAGACAAACAAGAGAGACAAAAAAAAAATATGTTAGTGTTTCGTGGGTAAGACAGCGCTGATACTAGCTGAAACAAAGGTTCGCTGTCGTATTGTAAGTAGCACAGGCTATAGTAGCGTACAGAAGAACAATTGTTTTAAAAACACTCTTTTTGGCAAGTGCGGTGAATTATACGTAACGTTATAACAAAACAACAATATACAACTCTGTTCCGGGTCTTATACCGTGCCAGGAGCTCTGGGGGTGGGCCATCTCCGCATTGAGGGGTCTCCTCAAACGGGGGGGAAACACAGCCGAAGAGCACCCCGGCAATGCTCAATTGGAGCAGAAAGTTGGAGCACAAACCCCAACCCCTCGAGCCCGTTTCGCGAGGAGGGGGTGCCCCAGTGGGCTGCGTCAGGGTGTCCCAGCTGTACAGTGGGGTTTGGGCGGCGCTGTAGTTGCCCAGCACGCGATCCCACAGAAGGAAATGGCCGCCAGGGAGGCTGCGTGTTTGGGATGCCCTGGCCTTCCCGCCGCACCAGCCATATTAGGCTTGGCCGTATGGTTGGTTACAGTGTGTGCATCTGTAGTTATTTTGTCTCCCCCACCCCAAAGTGTCCCAATAAACACAGTACCTCCCCATTTCCCCCCACCCCTCCCAACAGCAATCCGTGCGATACCCCCAACTTCCCCTCCGGTGCTGGAGGTGAACATGTTAGTGGCTATTATCATATCATGTTATATGGTACCATCATATTATCAGTGACTTTTCTCATCTTATCATACTATATTATACTAGACTATCATATTATCATATTATCAGTGACTACATTGCAATGAGATCAAGGCATTGTGGTGCTCATTTGTATACTTATGTGGCTTCAAAACGTTCAACAGCCTGCATGGGCCCGCGTGTGAACTGTATCCGAGCCTTCGTGCATGCACTGTCCCAGAGTCCCTGCTTGGGAACGTGGGGTCTGGAAATCCACTGGCAGGTCCAAACCCAGGTCTTTAAGAAATGTGGGTATGTCCGTCGTCGGGAGTAACACCGAGGGCTTGGCGCAATCCGTTGTTCCTCAATAAATCTGTGACCGGCTTCCACTCATTTCTCCGAAGGAGTGTGGCTGGTGCCACGTCTTGGTATATCTGGATGCCAGTCCCTTCATGGTCGTAGGCTGTCATCCTGCTGTGGCGCATTATGGCCTCCATAGTCGTGTAATAGTGCCACTTCATGATTACATTGCAGGGGGGGCTATTCTTCGGCCCTCTGGCCCGCAGGGCTCTATGTACCCTGCCCACCATCCACAGATGTTCAGGGATATCTGGGAGGCTTTTTTTAAAACAGGCGACTAGAGTCCCTTCTAGGTCCGCTTCCTCGACCAATTCCGGTAGGCCGCGGATGCGCAGATTATTTCTCCTTGAGCGGTTGGAGACGTCCTCGAGCTCCAATTCCAGATCTGTTACCCTGGTGAGAAGTGAATTTGTGAGGGTGACTGCTTGATTATGAGCCTGCACCACGTTGCCCAGTTGTAGCTCAATCCGGGTTGTACGGACCCCTATGGCGGCATTTTCCGCTTTAACTTCCGTGGCTGATCTTTTGATTTCTTCGGCCAGGTAGCCTTTGACATCTGCAAGGGATTGCAGAATAGTGCTGGAAGATGCCTCCGGTGGGGAGTCTTGTGTCCGGAGGCGGTCTGCGAGGTGAGTTGTGATGGGGCTCGTGTTCGTGGGCGCACCACGTGCAGCAGGTCTCTGGGCCGCAAACATGTCTACCACTGATGGTGCTTCGTTGGTGCCTCGTTTCTTGGGTGGTCTGCGGCTTGACATCCGGCTGCAGTAAAGGGGGTGATCGGGGCAAGATTTGCGGCTCCGAGGTCGGGGCTGTAGCTGATTAAACTGCTTTGAGTGCCGGGGTGCGGAACACTCGCTCTATGCGGCCATCTTCGTTGGCGTCCAAACCATGCCCCCGAAAACTTTTTTAAGCATTTTGTCATACTCACATTGTCACATGACACACTTTTTTTTATTTTTTATTATACTATATATTATACAGACAACTTTCACCATGAACCTTGACAGTTTTGTGGTGTAAATAGTGATACATAGTGACATAAAAACTTAACTACAAACAAACTGAGCTAAATTCTCCCTGGGATGGTCTGTCCCTCCACGTAGAAATCCTTGTAAGAAAACTTATGAATGAGAATGCATAAATTTCTCACTTCCAGTAAAACATACTTTTATTCAACCTTGTAGGGCTACTAAAATCAGCAAACGCAGAAATATGGAAAAAATGAAAAATCCATCTACAGCAGTTGTGGCAAAGCAAAAATAAAGTCTATACTTTCCATTTACTCTTCACATTCTGTATTTTTGAAGTTGTGGATTTTAGTAGGCTTACGGGGGAGAATAAAAGGTTGTTTTTAAATTCACATGCCGTCATTCATAAGTTTAAATACTGAGCAGAGGGGTGTGACCTTAAACATAGAGACTGACACTCGTAAGGAGGGACACTTGGGAGGTATGCAGAAGAATCTCACCGCCTGCACTATAATTTTACCCAGCAGTAACATTTGGTGCAGGATCATTTTATCTCCATTAATCAATGGGTCTGTAGAACCAGGAGTGGGCAATATAAACACTGAAAGACATCCTGGCCCTTCTCACACTCAGTACGCTTATACAGTATGATCATGGCTTCTGAGTGCTGACACACCAGCTTGTCCTGTTACACAAATCAATGAATGGACAAAGCTAAATTATGTCAGCATTTGTTTCATATTGTTAATCTTTCCAGGACTCAGCTGTGCAAAATAGGTTATAGGAAAAAGAGCGGAATCCGCTTAGACATAACCACAATAAGCAGAATGGCAGGAGCCTTGTGTCCAGTTTTAGAAGACATGTCTCCTGGGAGTTATTCACTGATTGAGATAACTCTGAAAGAATCCAAGACCCCACAGGGAGATAAACAGTCCCCTTCTCATCTTATGACATGTTAAGTTGCTTTATAATGCAGTCTGCCTGTAAAACCAGTGACATCTCTTTTCCACAGGTCTCTGTATTTTACAGCTTGACAGTAGTAAAGATTCGTATCTATTTATAGAGCTTGCAATTACTTTACCTCCCTAACGCTGCAGTGACTAACATTGAGCCTAGAACAAACCACATTACTGCTGGTATAATATTATGTTTTTAATCAACTGTGATCCGTAAGACACCCTTCATGAGCTGAGCCCTATGTTAATCATACTTTACATTTTGCCAATTAGGGGGGCATTGGACATTATAGTCAGGGGAGGACTAACATTAGGATAGGGTTATCAAGAGGCCTTTGCCCTTTAGGCCAATAGCCTAATTGGTTTGGAGGCACTGTTCTGTGGTGCCCAATTGGGATCCTTGTAAGAACCACACCTGTTCAATGATGGATTTTTTTGTTTTGTTTATTTTTACTATTGTAATCTTTGATTCCATGTTTATGTTTTATGTTATGCTTTATTGCAGACACTCTGCATTAAGTGCCCACTTGGTAGGTGTAGATTTGTTACTCGCTTTCTTTATTGCTAGTCCTTGCCTCTCGCTTGGTCTGGAGGTATACGGGGTTAGTAGGAGTGTGTGTGTAAATGAGTGAGAACAGGGGTATGTAAGAGAGTTGGCGAGCAGAGGAGGTGGAGAGGGCCCGGGGGGAGTCAATGTGGGTTTGCTTGTGGATTCTTCACTAAAATAGTTTCTGGCACTATAGCTATGCAGTGCTGTGCCCAGGCAGAGTCACTAATAGGCTGTGATGCTCAGCAGAGCGGCTCATAGGTTGTCGCAGAAACTAGACACATACTTAATAATGCCCGAATCTCGTTAATTGTCTTTGAATAGGGTAAGGGGGGGAGATTAGCCCCAAGAGTATGGAAGAGAGCAGGAGTTAATGCATGTGTGCGTGAAGGGCTCGTCAGATGTAGGCAGTGGTTTTTCTATACACCCATTAAAGTGAGGATTATTACTGAAACTTGCAATATATCAATAAGTTGGCTGATTTATGATCTTTATTATTTACAAAACATGTTATAACTTTGTCTATATTGAATATTTCTGTTTGATTCCACATCACCAATGAAGAATTTAAAAAAACTAAACTGGAGATGTGATGGGATATCTGTTGACAGAGTACTCCAGGTGGGAATTATGCAGGGCCTCAGCTAGTCCACCAGTGCATGGGTCAGTGGCTTAAAATGTCAACGGTCTCCAGGTTGTGGCTGACCCACTGGAATATTTCCTAAGATATGGGATATTCGAGTTATGTATCTAAAAAGCCCATTCATTTATACCAAACGTTACCAGTCTTCACAGTTACAGTTAGCACCAGGCTAAAGAAAAATACATAGAATTTGGGATGAATCTTCCTAAAAACAATTAAATAAATAAATAAAACCATGAGAAAGCCCTCAGATGACCTTGATCTCCATGAATGTCTGGCTTCTAGGCAGCAGACGGATGGGCATTCTATCCGGAGGGAAACAAATCATTAGAGCAATTCTTGTATTATCTAACTCACTCTACAAGCCAGTAGGATGGGATGAGATCATAAAACTTTAGCTGTACAAATGTAATGGACTATATCCAGTAAAGACTCTGTTTGACAGGCTGAGTATCTATTAATCCCACAGGAAGTGCTGTGTTAAGACTCTGGCAGACTGAGTTTTACTTGTTGGGATCTGGTATCAATTTAAAAGAAATCCATCATATACATTGTGAGCAATGTGATTTATATTAGGTAGCAATTTGTTAGCGTGATGTCCTGTCTCATACAACTTCCAATTAATATATTATCAATGGCTCTTCTAGTGTTTTACAAGACCCTATCTCACCCTATCTGTGCCACACTTTAACACATTTAAAAGATAACTAACTACCATAACAACTAGGGATCGACCGATTATCGTTTTTACCAATATTATTGGCCGATATTCTGTATTTTCGGCGATATCGTTATCGGCAAATAGACATACCGATATTGCCGATAATATAGACCAGTACCGCCGGGCCCATGACAAGCCCAGCGGTCCTGGGTGGCCCGCAGCAAGCTCTTACTTACCTTCCCAGCAGCTCCCTTCATCTTCTGTCTAAATCTCGTGAGAGATTCAGGGGAGCTGAAGGGAGCTGCTGGGAAGGTAAGTAACAGCTTGCTGCGGGCCCCCAATGCACAGTCCATGCCACCGGACCACCAGGGAATGCTATGTCCCCCCTTCCCTGGCCAGGTAACAAGCAGGGATGGGGGACTAAAAAAATAAATAAATAATAATTAAATATTTAGAAATTAAATTAAAAATGCCCCCCCCCCCCCCATTTTATACAAATTACATCCCTTCAGAAACACACACTCTGCATTAAAATACACACACACTACACAAACATACACACACTCTGCATTCATTACATACACACACTACACAAACACACTGCATTCACTACATTTGGCATGTATATTTTGTGCATTTACCTTTAGAAATAGTTTATTTTTTCAAAATGGTAAATGTACAGAATATCGGCAAATTATCGTCTATCTGTCTGAAAGTTCACAGATTATCAGTATCAGCTCTAAAAAAATCAATATCGGTCGATCCCTGATAACAACAAGTGAGAATGGCTTGTTACCTGGGCGATTTGTAAAAATTGCTTAAATTTAGAGAATGCTCGTTAGATCTGTCAATGAGACAGTCTGGACAGTTCCGAGCCTTCTATTTCAATTTTGTCTGTATTGTTCAGGCAGGAAGCACACAATGTACACACAACTTGGACCGAGCACTATCATCACCACTATGTCAATTGTTGCACACAGCCCAGTTCACATAAAGGGATTCTCCAAGCCCCATGTCCACTTCAGTGTTTTGAAGTGGTCATGGTGCAAGGACCCTGTATATGCAGTGTGAAATCATTTACCTACTTCAATATTTTAACGTTGCTGCTACAGGTGTAATTCAACCGCCGGCAGCGTCATTAGCAGGCCCAGAATGGGAGCCACAGAGTGTTCTTTTAACTCTTCCGTTCATTAGAGCTTCACATCCTCCATCCATTTTCAAATCTGTTAGACTGTAGCAAAAAATAATATATAGAGTAAAGTGAGCTGAACAATAAGAACATAATAAATACAGCACTGCTGGGAGTATGCACGCATTCTGAAGGGCAAACACTAAGTCCAGCTGACAGTGCTCGCCTTAATTTTTAAATCAATACGTAGGATCAAAGTTAAACCAACGTATGAAAGTAAATGGGTCATAAATCCCTTAGGAATGTAGGATAATCCACCCGCCAGGCCTGGAGGGTGCACATGGCAGACTATCTATCCAGATGCACAGGCGATAATCCCACTGAGGTGCATGCAGCCCACTGGGCATGAAACTACCAACATATCTGAGAATCAGGAGACTAGCGGGAGGAGGGGGGGAGAGGGGTTATCAGCCACAGGTACTATTATACCAGGGAATGCAAAGAGGGCAGAGATAAAGAGTGAATTAGAGATAAAATGTAAATTGTCTGGAACTCAGAATGAATTTGTAATTTTAGACCCAAATAGCTGAACTGAGAACACAGTTGACTTGGAGATTTTTTTTTTCTTCAATCCAGCTGTTTTGGTCCAAAATGTTAAATTTTATTTTGAATTTCACACACTTTACAGTTTAGTAAATAACCCTAGAATATGTCTAAAAAAATGTGCAGAAAGTCCAACTAATACATAGCACATCATTTCAATAACTTTACTAAACATTATGGTTTAAAAGAGTATCTTCTATTCAGTTCCCAAATCTGGACTGAATTTTTCAATATATAGAGCACAAAACATAAATTTCTAATTTTTTACAGTTAAGGGACTCACAGGCTAACTGTACACATAAGGTAAATGTATATATGGCTAGATGAGGCTAGAATTATAAGCCAGAGCATCTGGTAAAATTGACGGAACCATTGACAGGAGCTAGCAGTACAAATTAAAGGACCACTATAGGCACCCAGACTTAATGAAGTGGTCTGGGTGCCTGGTCCAGCTAGGGTTAACCCTTTTTTTTTTATAAACATAGCAGTTTCAGAGAAACTGCTATGTTTATAGTAGGGTTAATTCAGCCTCTAGAGCCTCTAGTGGCTGTCTCATTGTCAGCCGCTAGAGGCGCCTGCGTGCTTCTCACTGTGAAAATCACAGTGAGAAGACGCCAGCGTCCATAGGAAAGCATTGTAAATGCTTTCCTATGAACTGTCTGAATGCATCATGCGCATTCAGCCGATGACGTCGCTATCAAGGAGGAGATGAGGAGGAGAACCCCCCAGCCCGGCGCTGGAGAAAGGTAAGATTTTAACCCCTTCCTCTCCCCTCAGCCCGGCGGGAGGGTGACCCTGAGGGTGCGGGCACCCTCAGGGCACTATAGTGCCAGGAAAACAAGTATGTTTTCCTGGCACTATAGTGGTCCTTTAAATTAAAAGCTATCCTTAGTTTTCAAACAAGGGGGGTAAAACACAAACGTTGATGTCATTTGTATTTCAAAGGGCTCCTAATAATCTCAGGGTTTTATAGATTCATATCTGAGCTATAAACACATGATTTTATTCACTTGGCAGGTTGGTTGTTATAAACATTGATTTCTGAGCATTTTTTAAGCTGGACCACTCAATGCTTTTGACCCATTGTACTTTCATTGCATCTTTAAAAAAATAAAAAAAGCAAGAATATGTCAAGGAACACTACAGGGTGAGGAACACAAACATGTTACAAGCAGCATCTGCCCCCCACTCCTCCTAAATATAGTAAAATCTTACTTTTATTCCAGTTTGCTGCTGCTGGCTCTGTCCCTGGCCTGCCTGTTTGGCTGACATCATCAGAAGTGGTGTTCTGAGCCAATCACAATGATGTCAAGGAGACTGTCAAGGAGGCAGATCAGGAGCAGAGCTAGCACAAGCCAAACACAGCCCTGGCCAATCAGCATCTTCTCATAGAGATGTATTGAATCAATGCATCTCTATGGGTAAAGTTCAGTGTCTCCATGCAGAGAGTGGAGACACTGAATGTCAGTGCTGCACAATGTTCAGCACTGACCCAGGAAGCCCATCTAGCAGCCATTCGAGGAGTGGCCAGTGGAGGTATCCATAGGCTGTAATGTAAACACTGCATTTTCTCTGAAAAGACAGTGTTTACAGCAAAAAGCCTGAAGGGAATTATTCTACTCACCAGAACAAATTCAATAAGCTGTAGTTGTGGTGACTATAGTGTCCCTTCAATTCCATCACCCTTGAAGCTATGATTATCACAAGAAAGGTGAGTACCTAGTACTCAAAAATAACTAAGCACACAAATATTGTTGGGAGCAGTCTAATATACACAAATATTTTAGGATTTCAGTCTTGCTCTTATTGCGAGCCCAGGAACTTATAACCTATATGATAATGCAGTACAACAAGTACATAGGGTATTATTCTTTGTGTTTCAGAACTTCTCAAATATCTTTTGCCATCGGTATTTGATTACTGAAAACACTAAAAAGACTGAGCAGGAAGTTGCAATCTGCTCTCCCCTAGGTCTGCTTATGAGTTGCAGGTTGATACGGAACACATTTTCTTGTTTAACTCAGTGCACAAAAGCCGCTGTGTGTCTGTCCATTATTGTGTTTTTTTAATTCTGTCCTTAGTTTTCATGCCAGGCAAAATATAAAGGTTCAATGAGCAGAAAGTCTATAACTCATGGTTGAAGTAGCCAAAAAACGAGGAGTAAAAGATATGTGAGCTAGTTTGCTGTGAATTATAGGCCGGACTGGCATGACGAGAGGAAATCATATGCCAGATCTGGTATGCATGATCAAATGATTGAAACAAGGTTTTTTTTTAAATTCTATTCCCTCTTTAAATGATATAGCAGTTCAGTATAGTTTGTGTAAAGCTTACAGAATGTCCCTTACCTTCGAAAATACTATTAGCTAGTTATAATCAACTAGTTGTTTGAGTAAATTGAAAAGTTACTTGTGTGCATCATCTGTGTATCTCAAGTAGACCCATGGAAAAAGTCTGCCTCCGTCACATCAATTACAAACAAAAATCATGTTTCTTCAGTGTTCCCAGAATTCCCAGCTCAACATGCAAATGAGCATAGACAGGCACCATGGTTTAGAGTTTAACCTGCATTTTTGAATGGCCCTTAGCAATGGACATCGTTTTAAACCCAGGCATAGATTGTGAGTAAAAAGGACCAAACAACCAGAAACCAACCACAGACTGTATAGATTCGAGCTTTTTGGTCTCCTGAGCATGGTGTCAATTCTGGTCTACCAGTTGAAGTTCTTCTAACAGCATGTACCCATGTACTAAATAAATTATTTCAGCAGGCAGGTTATGTTTTCAAATGCCATCCTGCACCGAAAGGGTGTATAATTACAAAACTATTTTTTTGTATGGATTAATAATAAGGTATTTTTACTTTTGGTCTACTTTCCATTGGTGGTGGCATCGTTAGTGTTCCCCTTCCGAGGCATGCATTTTATCTCCCTCTAAGATAAAGAAACCCTATCACTTGCACTAATTTAAAAATAAATAAATACATACCAATATTGGTTGAATCACATTCCGAGGCAGTGGCCACTATTTAAAGGAGTTGTCCTGAATTCAGTTCCTTTTCCATGCTGGGAGAGGAGCCGTGGAGAGCATTTCCTAGCTAGCATATATATATATAGAGTAAGAAATGAATGAATAAATTAAAGACAGCAAAAAGAAACATCCCCTGCCACCCAATAGTGTGACTACTATTAATTCAACCCCCTCCTCTCTCATATACTGAGAGAGCAGCTGTGACTAAAGAGAAACAGATAAGAAGTAGTGAAGAGAACAGCATCCTGTGATGGTGGGCTTCCACTAAGGAATTACTCATGTTCTACTACCCTTCCAAGATCCATATGCAGAATGGCCTGGCACTGCCAAGTCACGGCTGTGTTCCTTGCTTCCAAGTCCCAAACATGTTATTTGCCCAGTCCAAGTTCTACTCCTTTTCCAGACTCAGTCCATGCATGTCCTTGCTGAACCTATCATAACTTATCATTTCCAGTTCCAGCACAGTATCACGTGTAATGCATGGTGAGTTACAACATTTAGGCCCAAACTGCTGAGCTAAATTAGCTCTACAGTTCAACCAAGCTGGTGATTTTGTCCAACACTGCTATTTTTGCCTAAAGTTTGCATATTGGTCCTCACGCCTGCCTTTTTAGTGAATAAACTTATATCTTGTCAACTGTCCTCTCAACTTAATATTCATTTCCTGTGTTTCCTTGCCAGGATGGATGAAAATTACAACCTTCTTCCACATGGGGTGAATTTTCAGGATGCCATTTTCTCAGACACTCCAGAAAACCACCGCATGTTTGCCAGTCTTTTCCAGTTCTCAAACTGTTCCATCGGAGTTGATCCCCAAATCTACACTCCGGACTGGGAAATTCAAGAAGACCACAGGGTAAGACAGAACAGTGGTGCTGGTTTTTTGTTTACCCACCTCCTGCTGAATGTCCCTTTAAATGCAAATGTTAAACATATGCTTAAAGGATCAGTGTAGGCACCATAACCACTACATTGTGATGTAGTGTTTATGGTACCTAGCATAACCCTATAATGTTACAATTGGTTTGACAAAATTTACTCTTATGTTAGTTGTAAGATTTTATCCAACCACTCACAAATTGCTTATGATCGTGTGCACAAAAACTTTAGGCTTTTCTTAGAGATTATTCAAATCTTGTTCTGTTTTATATTTTTAGTAAAGGGGACTTGTCCTAGGTGGTGTTACCCATGGTTCTATCAGGGTCATTCACTGAAGTATGAATTGTTCTGAAAGTTAAAGTGTATTTAAATTCAGGATCATTCACTAAGTTCCAGATAACTTTCTTTAAAAAAAATAGGGGCAAATAAAAAAAAAATCCAAAAACATGGTTAACAAAAAGTTACGACTAAAGCTTAGTTGGAGAATGTGACAAACTCCTGTGCCACAGACTTTTGGTGAAGCTTGAAGGCCAGCCTCCTACCCACAGACTATGGGCCTGGTCTCAGAGCCCCTACAAAGGGGTTAGGGGCAGAGCCTGACCGGGATGCTGAGCAGACATGCTTTCTGTGGACCGGTGGCGGTTATCCCGATCCCAACCAGCATGTCTCACAAACCAATCTGGATTACAAACGAAAGCAACAGCCTGAAACAAGCATCAACCGAGCAAACTGCCGCTAGTAAAATGGCGGCTGCGGACCATGCGACTGAACTCGCACCCTCCCGGCCCCTCCATGAGCGCCTGGAGGCCCTGCTCCGACAATTCTGGGCACAATTGGAGCACAGGGAAGCCCAGCAAAACCCCACTCACCACAAGGTGGAGGAACTGGCTGAAGTCGTAGGGTGGATGGAGCGGATCCCGGGCAAAGCCGCCTTACCTCGAAGGGTGATATGCCCATCCAGACTGGGGGTTACTAGGAGACTTCCTCTAAAACACCAACCACATCGCGGGAAGGTCACCCGCCGCTGGCGGAGGACAATTACCAGGACCTTCCACAGCGCCCACAAAGGGAAAGACCCGGCCCCAAGAGGTAACCGAGCCTGTGGCCACATGGTGACGACCCCACGCACGGTCTGGAGCAGGGGAGAGACCCCCACCGCACGCGACCCCTCTCCTCACCCCAAGCTCTCCGGACGACCACCACCACAATGCCTAGTAAGAGCCACGACCCTGCCGACCGGAGAAAGAAGACCTACGGACCAAGGGCAAGGGCCCCCCTCACAACCCGGAGCTACAGGGCCTCGGAAATGCCGTGCTGCGACATGCTGACAACAAATCTACAACGCCTGCAGCTCAGCCTGACCGCCCGCATGCCGGATAGGGGTACACCAGAGCAGAGGATGGACTGTTCACTGTGGCACGCACTGGGAATTGGCTGAAAGCAGCAATCAAAGCCCTTCCACGCACCCCTCCTGTTGCCAGGCAAACGGACTGATGTAGGACAAACCTCATGGGCACACTGGCCGTCCTTACCGAGCTAGTGACTTATATACTAGATCACAGCCTGCTTAATCTCACTCAAATGAACCATAGCATAGCCTGTATGAAAATAACAGACAATTGAATAGTTACTATGCCCTAGCTTGAAATAACGGCCAGTAACATGTATTTATACCTCTGAATATGTGTTTATACCACTTACACTGTTGTAACCCTGCATTATAGAAAGGGGCAGTGTTTTACTTTGCTTCACTTTACTTGACGTTACTTTATCATTCTTAACCTGGCACACTACACTCGGGCCACACATCTGTTCCCCCAAACGCACCCAGCTTGGTCTTAAGCATGATTAGTTAGGCATGCAGTAATAAACTACTGCCCTGCCACATTTATAACACACAAGCATTGCTTCTCCTGACATATAACTGTTATAATCCACTTGATATTTTGCTTGTGGTTATCTACTTTATTATAAATATGCTACTCTTGTTAGTAATCTTATCGAATGCTTAAATAATATAAAATGAGGCAGTCCCTCATAGGAGATGTTGTACTGTGTTAACGTGACCCCAAGCTGTATGAAAACCGTACATCCCCTCTTCTTTATTCTGTACCCCATTTAACAAGTGCCTCAAGAAAAGAAAGACTGGCAAAAAAAAAAAAGAAAGGGGTTATTGTCGATGTGGTAGGTATGGGGACCCCGGAGGCCTACTGTGCTTCCCAGCCAGACTTGAGGATCTCTGGAGATTGCCTGGATTCATTTAAACATCAAATGCCTGACCGGGAGATACCCTGAAACATCTGGAAGTCTTCTTCAGATTGGGACTGTTCCAAGGTCCAGTTAATTGTCAAGTGGGTACCGCTCGGTCCCTCAACTTCCAAATAGAGTGCTATTTGGAGGGGGTTTGGAGAGGCAAGAAAGCATCAGAAGATACCTGGGGTAGGGATTGAGAGAACTTCCCTCCCCTTAAGTCCGGGAACCTATTTTTTAAGACAGGGACTAAGCAGTCGCACACCTGGAACTTGTCACATCGACAGACCCTGTAAAAGTTTAACACTCTAATTCTGGCTCAGATTCTCCATGAGGGAGTTAATTGGACAGTGAGGGCAAGCTTTGCAGGGATATATACTGTTCTGGGGGTATGGTCAAGGAAAAGAGAGTTTGAGGCGGACATTTTGTGTGCTATGCCTCTAGGGCTATGAGGGCACAGCAGGGAGCCTTTTGCATTAGCTGGGGACACTGTTATTAGGTCCCCAGACAGAGTGGCGCCAAGGAGAGAAAATGGACTGTACATTGCTTTGTATGGAGCACCCTCTGCAGAGAGAGCCAACATTGCTGTGTATAAATACCTGCCTGATGTGCAATAAAATAGTTCTACACCCTGTATTCGTCTAATGTGTGGGTGAAAACTATAGTCTCTGCTTTACAGGAGAGAAGTTCTCACTGCAGCCTGGTCTAGTGGAAGAGGTCCTCAGAGTCCCCAGTCAAGTTTGGACGACTGGGTCTGAAGTGCTCCAAAAGCCTTTGGTAGCAGCTAGGAAGCTGACATGGCGAAGGTACTCGGGAGCTCTGTCAAAGAGTACTTCTCCAAAATCGACTATTTTGTGTACATTTGTACAAACATACTAAAGTAGCAAACAAATAAATATGCACTCAAATCCCAACTATGATATTGCTTTTATTAGATCATCAATGTGTACATTTTGAAACCAAAGGCCCTGTAAAACAATTCCAAACTAGTTCCCACAAATATTCTCTTCTATTTCTTTGTAGCTTTCTCAAAACCAGGGTTAGATCTGATGCACCAAATTGTATTTTAATTTCCCTTTCTCCCATATTTTATTGCAGTTGCTTTGTAGCACAGTACAGAAAGCCCTTCTGGAGGAAGAAGAACGTGTGAAGAACCTATCTCAAAAAGTGCGGATCCTGGAGAAAGCTAATGGACATCTGAGAGAAAAAGTGAAGAACCTCAAACGCTCTTTGCGTCAGGCTAGCATGGAGAATAAGAAAGAGGCCAAGAAACTGGAGAAACTGGAGAAAGAGAAAAGTATTGCCCAAGGTGCATCAAAGCTGGACAACCACAAGAAGGTTCAAGCTAGACCAGCCAATAAACAGACAGGAAACAAACTGGATTAGGCTTTGATTATGGATCACCATAGATGGAACAAGGCTAGTTTTAAAGGCTTGTAAAAAGATCAGAATTGCTTATCCCAGTTTTCCAGTTCCAAATGGATCTGTTCATAAAATATATAGTTGTTACATGTAAATAATTGGGTTTATTCACTAATCTGGGAATTGTGAAGAGATTCTTTGAAGACCAAAATAGCCAAATTAGAAAAATCCTCCATGTCTGCTATTTTTCCAGCTTGACTCTTTTGGCCCAATATTCTCCTAGTCAATTCTCCACGATTTCTGTTTTAGTTTAAAAAAAAATCCTTTTATATAACAGGGTAGTTTTATACTTACATTTTTTGTATTTAATGTGCTTTTTAGGTAGTTTTCTTTTGAGCCACTTTCATGTTACCATGTGACACATGTTTTTTATCTTGCTGTGGTACTGTTCTATGGATGTTTCTTTTCAGGAGTACAATAGATCGTCAGGCGATACATACAGCAACAACTTTTTTTAGGCGCATATACTGTTTAAAACAAATTAGTAACATAAGATAATGCATGATTTCAATGTTTTTAACAGAGAAAAACAGGAGTTTTTTTTTTTTTTTTTTTAAGAATCTCAATTTTACCCAAACAGACTATTATATTATATTGGTCTAAAAGATATGTTACTATATTTAAAGGACAGTATTACAAATGTCAGTGCATGCTAAGGTTATGCAACAGTAGTGTTCTATAAAAAGAAAAAAAATACAGTGCATTTTGTTTTCCTATTACTATGCACTTCTTTTCTACTCACATGTTAAGTGACTTGTGCTTACGTCTCTGTAAAAAAATACCATTAAAATATTTGCATTTAAATAACATATTGATTCTAAATCAGCTGTGCATTCCAGAAATGAGCCATGACCAGGGCCAGATTAAGAGCCCAGTGGGCTTGGTGCTGACAATTATAATGGGGCCTAATTACAGAATCTTAACAACCAAAAATACAAAGTGTCAAGCGTCATGTATCTGATGGAGTTGGTGTTGGAGGGAAATTCAAAGGATGCAGCTATAAGAAAACACATACTCTCTACATCCACCTCTGGTGGGAATGTCCCCAGGTCCTACAAATATGGGAAAAAGTGGTCATGCTCGCATCCGACATATTAGAAACAGACATACCAAGAGATATGGCTGCTTTCTAAACCCCATCCCCCCCTCACCAGAGCACAGAATAAACTGGTGGCCAGACTAGCGCTGGCCACCAGACGGACGATAGCAGAACAATGGGGCAACCAGAACACATCCCAACTAACCACTATGATCAATAAAACACAAGAAACTATGGAAATGGACAAACTGTCAGCCCTACTACACGATACAACAAGAAACTTCCACAAGATATGGGACCCATGGGTCCAACACCACCTACTGGCACTATAAACGGAGGACCCGGGAACTAATCTCTCTCTAATGTATGCTTTCATCTTTCAAGTAAATCCATCCCCCCTAACAGCAATGTCCAGTGAAGCAGGAAGTCAGTGGGCGGGGTAAAAGGGTGGGCCACTGACGCGAATCACGCGACCAGAACTGCCAAAAGGGACGAACATGCCAAAAAGGGGGCATGTCTGTCCAAAGAATTGGAAGGCCAGCCTGGCATCAGTGTCCCCATGTATCACAGTGTCAGTGTCCCCATGTCTTAGTGTGTCCCGTGTCACTAGGATACTAGGGGATACTGAGAGACCCGGGGACACTGACACATGGGGGCACTGAGAGACATTGTTGCAGCTCCTATTTGAGAAGCACATAAGAGAATGGAGAGGGATTCCATGAAGCAACATTGATTTATTTGCAGCTGCAAATGTCTCAGTCAGACAATAGTCTTGGAATACCCAACTGAGCAAACGTTTACAAGAGAACAAAGAATATATACCACAAATGACGTATTCCATATGTATACAGAGGATACAACTATTACATCCAATTATTAAACTAAAATGTATCTCTTACACGTGTTATCTAATAGTGGGCGTTCCTGACATTCCACACATGCGCCCTGGTCAAAGATAGTTACACAGTAGTTTTAACCATGTGAGTACTGAACTTTACTTAAAAATCCTGTAGTTTCTACCACAACATGGGGGCACTGAGAGACATGGGGGCACTTGTGGATACAGACATGGGGACACTGGGAGACATGGGGACACTGTGAGAAATGGGGTCACAGACACTAGGGACACAGATACATGGGGACACAGACACTGGGAGACATGGGGACTCAGACATTTGTTAAAACTAAGACACTAGGGACACAGAGACATGGGAACACAGACACTGGGAAACTAGGGGACACTGGAAGATATGGGACACAGACACTAGGGACACTGGTTAGGAGGCATGGGGACACTGGCTGGGAGACACTGGGAGACATGGGGGCACTTGTGGACACAGACATGGGGACACTGGGAGATATGGGGACACAGACACTAGGGACACTGGCTGGGAGACATAGGGACACATGGAGACACTGGCTGGGAGACATAGGGACATAGGGACACTGGGAGACATTGGCTGGGAGACATGTGGACACTGGGAGACATGGGGACACATACATTTGGGGACACTGGGAGAAATGGGGACACATACATTTGGGGACACTGTGAGAAATGGGGTCACAGACACTAGGGACACAGATACATGGGGACACAGACACTGGGAGACATGGGGACTCAGACATTTGTTAAAACTAAGACACTAGGGACACAGAGACATGGGAACACAGACACTGGGAAACTAGGGGACACTGGAAGACATGGGACACAGACACTAGGGACACTGGCTGGGAGACACTGGGAGGCATGGGAGCACTTGTGGACACAGACATGGGGACACTGGGAGATATGGGGACACAGACACTAGGGACACTGGCTGGGAGACATAGGGACACTGGGAGACATGTGGACACTGGGAGACATGGGGATACAGACATTTGGGGACACTGAAAGACATGGGGATACAGACACTGGGAGACTAGGGGACACTGGGAGCCATGGGGACACAGACACTGGCTGGGAGACATGGAGACACTGTGTCCCTGGTATCTCCGTGTCCCAATGTGTCTCCCTGTGTCTCAGCGTCCCCATGTATCTCAGCGTCCCCATGTCTCCCTGCTGCCTTTCCCCCCCATCCTTCACATACCTGAGCTGTAGTCTGTCTCTGCAGGCTGGGAGCTGCTGTCTGGACTCTCTGTGCTGTGTAGCTGCTCCCTCGCAGATCAGTGAGTAGAGAGAGGCAGGTAGATGCTGTAACTTCCTATCCCTGCCTCTCTCCATACACAGTGGCCTCCTACTGGCAGGTGCTGGTATTGCAGAGTAAAAAATATTTGCATTTATATTTCCGGTATTACTGCAATACCATCATGGCCAGTCAGCCTTAAATACTGGCTGTGCCTTAAAATACCAGTCAGGTGGCAAACCTAAGAGTAGTGTGTGTGTAAAAAAAAGGTTTTTTTTTTTTAATGGGCCTCTTCCATGGGCCTGGAGCTGCAGCTCCATCAGCCCCTATGTTAATATGGTCCATCATTCTGGCCCTGGCATCATTAACGGCACGCAATGGAGCAGAGGAAAAAGATAAGAGCAACCCCACAATGGACCCCAGGGACAGGATCCACACTGGACTCCAAGGAAATAATCCACTTCAGCTCTCCCAAAGATAGGGAGGCTGGGTGGACTTAAATTAAAATAAAAAAAATAAAATATAACAATTGTGAGTGTGTGAGTGTGTCTGTCAGTGAATATGTGTGTCAGTGTGTGTGTGTTTATCAGAGTGTGTCAAATCAGTGAGGATATGTGTGTCTGTGAGTGAGTTTGTGTGTCAAATCAATGTGTAAAATCAGTAAGTGTGTGTGACTGTTAGTGAATATGTGTGTGTCAAGATTGTGTCAAATAATTGAGGGTGTGTGTATGTCAATGTTTGTGTATCGAGAGTGTGTATCTGTAAGTGAGTGGGTGTGTCAGTGTACGTCTGTCAAATGGAAAAAAAGAAATATCCAGGCACCCCTCAGGTTTCTTCTTAGAGACAGTCTTTATTTGAAACAAGGAAGTGGAGATGTTTCAGCTCCTCTCCGAGCTTTTATCAAGACTTGATGAAGTTCAGAGAGGAGCCAAAACGTTGTGTCCACTTCCTTGTTTCAAATAAAGACTGCATTTTAGAAGAAACCTCAGGTGTGCCTGGATATTTGTTTTTTGCCGTTTAATGTATTCAGTGATTGGCTCTCCCTTTCTGGAGCACCCTGCAGGAAGTATTGTTTTAGTGTGTGCATTTTACTTTTGCTTGTTTTTTGCAAACAAGTGTATGTCTGTCAGTGAAAGTGTATGTGAGTTAAACGGTGTGTGTGCCAATGACTGTGTGTCTGTCAGTGTATGTATTAGAGAGGATACATGTGTCAACAGAATCATTTTTGACTCTAGACTAAATACGCTTTACCATTAAATTGCAACCTAGAATTGAAAACAGTCTGGAAATAGCTTTTCACCTAAAAATTACAGGTTTGGATTTTGAACAGATTATGTTTCCCAAATATATTTGCAGGCAGCCTGAAAAATAACTTCCTTTGAAGAGGTTTAAACAACAGATCATTGCTCTAGTTTTCCATGCAGTTTTGGCAAACATTATTTCCACATAATTATTCAAAATTGTATTTTCAAACTATTATTCTTTTTTAAGAACAGGGTGTTTTTATTATACTAAATCCTGCGTTCTTACTTTCATTCGCTCAGTTCTTTTCTTCTTAATGAAAAATCCAGATTTTGTTTGAGAACTAAAAACAAAATTAAAAAAAAATATATATATAAAAAAGCAAGCTAGCTCTCAGTTGCAATATTTTACTGTGCGGAATGAATAACACCAGAAATGAATAACACTGCTTGGGTTTGCTGGTTCTTACTGGGTGTGAAAAAGTTATACAATTAAGTTGCATAAATTGTGCTATCTTATATAGCACCAACCTTTTCTATTCTGCAGCACAGTACAAAGCATATTTAGGGTTTTAAAACCTAAAACAATTGAACAAGGGGAACCGAGCCAGCTGAAGAATGGAGAAATTGTGCTCTTGTGGGCTGTGTGCCTCCAAATAACAAAATCGACTGATTTAAGATGGTAAAAGTACTTACCTGCTCATCTCCCCCTCTCTAGGCTGAGATGGGTGGTCATGGGACGCAAAAACATAAAACAGAGAGCCGGCAAAGGCACATCTTCCCGCGATATCGGAGAACTCGGGACAAATCGGGACCAAAATCGGGACAAAATGGTGATGAGGGACGAGGGCTCTTCCTATTCCTCGGAGGAAAGCCCTTTTGATCAAGGCGCTGGGGTTTTGTTCAACCTTCCCACAGGTCCCAAGTCCAGGCAACCCACTGCCAATGAGCCAGTCACTGCAAGCCTGCACAAGACCATGTTCGCTGACATCGCATCAGACATGGCCTTCTTCAAGGATGCCATGGAGGGAGCCACCTCTTGCACTGCCATGCTGTAGGCCTCACTGAGCACACAAGACTGGAGATTAACCTCAGTAGAATACAAACTCGAGGAACTTGTAAAGCACCAACATGCATCTACAGTGAGGGAAAAAAGTATTTGATCCCCTACTGATTTTAGACATTTGTCCATGGACAAAGAATAAACTCTTCAGTTTATAATGTTAATGGTAGGTGTATTTTAACAGTGAGAGTCAGAATAAAAAAAAAATTCCATAAAAATGCATGTAAAAAAAGTTATTAATTGATTTGCATGTCAATGAGTGAAATAAGTATTTGATCTCCTATCAGTCAGCAAGATTTCTGGCTCCCAGGTGTCTTTTATACAGGTAACAAGCTGAGATTAGGAGCTTTCTCTTAAAGGGAGTGCTCCTCATCTCAGCTCGTTACCTATATAAAAGACACCTGTCCACAGAAGCAATCAATCAGATTCCAAGCTCTCCACCATGACCAAAGAGCTGTCCAAGGATGTCAGGGACAAGATCGTAGACCTACACAAGGCTGGAATAGGCTACAAGACCATCACCAAGCAGCTTGGTGAGAAGGTGACAACAGTTGGTGCGATTCTTTGCAAATGGAAGAAACACAAAATAACTGTCAGTCTTCCTTGGTCTGGTTCTCCATGCAAGATTTCACCTCGTGGAGTTTCAATGATCATGAGAACGGTGAGGAATCAGCCCAGAACTACACAGGAGGATCTTGTTAATGATCTCAAGGCAGCTAGGACCATAGTCACCAAGAAAAGAATTTGTAACACACTACACCATAAAGGACTAAAATCTGGCAGCGCATGCAAGGTCCCCCTGCTCAAGAAAGCACATGTTCAGGCCCATCTGAAGTTTGCCAAAGAACATCTGAATGATTCGAATGAGAACTGGGTAAAAGTGTTGTGGTCAGATGAAACCAAAATCGAGCTCTTTGGCATAAACGCAACTCGCCGTGTTTGGAGGAGGAGGAATGCTGCCTATGACTCCAAGAACACATTCCCTATCGTCAAACATGGAGGTAGAACCATTATGCTTTAGGAGGGTTTTTCTGCTAAGGGGACAGGACAACTGCACCGCATCAAAGGGACGATGGACGGGGCTATGTACCGTCAAATCTTGGGTCAGCACCTCCTTCCCTCAGCCAGGGCATTGAAAATAGGTTGTGGATGGGTATTCCAGCATGACAATGACCCAAAACACACAGCCAAGGCAACAAAGGAGGGGCTCAAGAAGAAAGACATAAAGGTCCTGGAGTGGCCTAGCCAGTCTCCAGACCTTAATCCCATAGAAAATCTGTGGAGGGAGCTGAAGGTTCAAGTTGCCAAATATCAACCTCAAGGAGCACTATATGGTCAGGAACACAAACATGTATTCCTGACCCTATAGGGTTAAAACCACCATCTAGCCCCCCTGGTCGCCCTCATGCCTCCCTAAATATGGTAAATCTTACTTGTATTCAAGCCTGATGCTGTTGGCTTTGTCACTGTTTCCTTTTGACCCGCCCACTGACTGCTGACATGATCATTTCTTTGTCAGTGGGCAAATGTTCAAAATCAGCAGGGGATCAAATACTTTCCCCCTCACTGTACCAACAGGATAGACACCATATAGGATTAACGAAGGCATCAAAACTTAAACATCCAGGGCATACCAGATTCTGTGGGCCCTTCTGAGGCACCTCACTTTGTCTGACAACAGATAAACCTCCTATCACTACCGAAACTAAGCAAGGTGGTGAAGCTTGACGGTATGTTCCGCATACCGAAGCCAGTAACTTCACGATTGGGCACATATGCTGAACTAATCGTCAGCTTGCAATCCCTACAAGGCAAAACTTATTATAACTGCAGCGCATGGGAAGACCCCTTTGCTATTTAAAGGCTCCACACTTGCTCTGTTTCAAGATCTTACTAGAAGCACCATCGGGTGGCGCAGATCCGTACAACCACTCTTACAGCTACGCTATTCAAAGAACATCCAGTACAAATGGGGACTCCCTAAACAATTCCTAATTATCCACCAGGGCAACTCTTATAAAACGCACAGTTCCTCAAAACTAGAGACCCATCTACACATACCCATGAGGAATCCGCTAACATGCCATCTCTCGTTTTTAATGATGTTAAACCCCATTCCACGTTTTCCTTTGATGATATTATGTCAATACTTGAATTTGTCTGTGTTTTGCTACTTATCATATTTACTGCGGATATACTCACATGCGGAATGATATAAATAAAGAATAAAAAAAACATTGAACCAGGATTTGCAAAGATTTTACAATTAAAGTGTGCTTTGTGTGTGTGTTATTTACTAAAATGAGATTTCAAAGTGGATTTTAAATTTAAAGGAATTATCTAGTTCGGCTATTTTGACCTTCATTTTGAAACTCACTTTGAATTTTTCCTTTGGTGTATGTTTTGCGTTGAAAGAGCATTTGTAGAAATACAGGGTGGTCTTCTTTGTACTGATGTATAAACAAGCAATGGGATCATATGTTTAACATACTCCTGCATTAAATGTCCTGTAAGTGTGCTGTACAATGTATCAATTTGGGATCATAGGTGGAATTCCTTTTATCCTCCATTAACATGTTATGATCTGAAAAGGTATTTAGGAAGGAAGTTAAAAGAAATTAGTAATTCAATCATCATTCAATGCGGAGACAAATCCTTTTGGATTTGCTCTATGACAATAGTGTTTATTACTCTGTACCAAAAATAAACAGTATATAAGTACACAGAGAAAAAAAAGTTTGTTGTTACACGTTGAGATCAGTGTTATCTGACGTATATTGTACCACTGAGGTGAGTTTTATTGATTTAATTTAAAAATTGAGGAGTTATGTCAGACAGGCATCATTCTACAGTTAGTGTAACGATGCTGCATTCAGGGGAATTGCTAGGTTCCAAATCCACCAGAGGCTTTAGCCCAAACCGCAACTTGATAACCCCTCTCTCAAAGTAGCAGCTAAAACCCCATATTATCCTTTAACCCTACAGTCCTGAATTCCTCATCCCATATACTGCCTCTATCTCGTTATCCACATTGTGTATCTTTAGCTCCCTATTTTACCATGTGTCTGGGTCCCTCTATCCACTGCCACCCCCATCACCCTATCCCTGTTTGTGTGTATATATATACACACACAATATATATATCTCTTACCATCTCTCTAGACCTCTTATATTCTGGCACTTCGTGAATTCGTTGTTCTAGCCCCAAAGCCACCCCCTAGCAACTGCTATTATTATTAGCAGCATGTATAGAGCACCAACATATTCCACAGTTCTTTACAAATCTAGAATTAAACAGAGACAAGCGGTAAAGATGCCCTGCTCAAATGAGCTTACAATCTATGAGGAAGAGGTAAAGCCACACAAGAGAAATAACAGCATGTCAGAGGGGAGGAGGGATTGATGGATAAGATACCTGTGTACAAATAAGTTAGTCAAAGTGGTGTGCAGAAAAAGCACCCCAGCACTCTCATTGCTCAGTTCTCTGCCATTTAGGAGCTAAATCACTTTGTTTATACGGCCCTAGTCACACCTTCCTGCATGTGACTTGCAGAGCGTTCCTAGACACTTCCTGTAAAGAGAGATATAATGTTTAAACTTTATTGCAATCTTTATTGCACTGTCCGGGTAAATTGAAATTAAGAAATTTAACTCTCTCTGCTCTTTTACTAGCCTTGGAGAAAAATATGTACTTTTTAGTCTCTTAACCCAATTTTTCCTTTTCAATTTTTGAAAATATGTGGTCTGTTAATAGACTTGTTGCATGTAAACCTGTTCACTTGCTATCATTGGAATCTCTTGTTGGATCCTTATAAATGTGGTGAAGGGGTAAACAGCAATGTTTTTATTTAAAGGAAGTTACAATTTGATTTCATATTTATGTCATTTATATAACTCTTTCACTACCAGACTGGCAAGAAATATACCCACCATAACAAACTGCTGATCTCTACAGCATGTACATACGATGAGACCCGCATCTCATGACAGTGTCTGTTTGGAGTGCTCAGCATTATTCTGTAAGAGTGTATCACAGAGCTCCACAGTTCTAAAAATGTACAGTAATAGGGGGCATGTCTGAATGCATGGTTATCTTTCCAACAAGGCCACCAAGGACACAATCTCGTGGCAGCAGGCAGGTGATGGAGATCTTTGATATCTCTACCAGCCATGTCGCCCATCACCAGTTAGCCCATTCTCATGCCACGGGGGCAAGTCCACCTAGAGACCTGCATGCACACCAAAATCACCAGGACCGCATGGGAGTGTAGCGCCAAAGATGTTCAGCTGATGTAAGGAATGGTTATCTTTCACTTTACAGGGAGTTGGCATATTACAGAGGGTCGGTGTGTAACATGGGGCAGGGAAGCAAGATAGGATGGCTTGTAGGCTAGCACCATTCTGAGCAGGGAGGAGCTATCAGAGGATGACACTTTAGAACTAATCTTCTTTACTATTGTAAAGTACAATTTGCTCTCTCTTTATATATGTATTTGTTTGGTCTGACACATAACCCCACAAGCCGCGTCTCCACAAACATACATACACCTTCTCCCACTTATCCAACCAATTCACAATTACTATTCAATTATACCGCAAACTCATCACATTCACACATCCAATCAGATACCTCACACTAATTACATTAACTACATTAACCCATTCAAACACATCAACTAACAGGGGAGAGGGGTTGCTTTGAGAAAATTGTCCTTTGGGCAACAAGGTAGGTAACTCCATCCCTGTCTGAATGTATGATCATGTATAAGAATCACGGTTAAACGGGGTTTGACAAATGTAGCACAAAGCATCACAGAAACAAGGAATCATAGTAATATGGGGGCATGACTGAATGATTCACAGAGCCTCACTCAGGATTAATCACAATATGGATTAGAGCTCAATAAACTAAAAGGGACACTATAGTCACCAGAACAACTACAGCTTATTGTATTTGTTCTGGTGAGTAGAATCATTACCTTCAGGCTTTTTGCTGTAAACTGTCTTTTCAGAGAAATGCAGTGTTTACATTACAGCCTAGTGATAACTTCACTTTCCACTCCTAAGATGGCTACTATAGAAGCTTCCTGGGGCAGTGCTGCACAGTGTGACTGACATTCAGTGTTTCCTCCCTCTGCATGCAGACACTGAACTTTCCTCATAGAAATGCATTGATTTAATTAATCTCTGTGAGGAGATGCTGATTGGCCAGGGCTGTGTTTGGCTTGTGTTGTCTCTACCCCGATCTGAAAAAGGTTAGATAGATTTATATATATCTTTTTCCAGATGTGTGGGACGCCAGGAGTCTTATTCATACAGTTTGTGTTAGAAAACAAACAACTGGATTTAATCAGCATTGCTTGGCTGGTTCACTAATAAAGGGGTTAATCCACCCATCAAACTTCAGTCAATACAACATGAAATTGAAGATTATGCTAGCTTTAGTGTACTAATAATCTTAATTTTAATAAGGACAGGAGGCGAGTATTTTGCATTAACTCTCTTTACTAAACTCCACAGCAGTAAAGAAAAACATAAAGAGTAACAAATAAATCACTGAGCAGCATAGTATATAAGGGTCATGCTGCCTGTACACTTCCTCTTTCTTAAAGCGACATCCAAGTCCAGATAGAGCTCGAACATCCAGAAACTCAACGAAACAGTAACTGCGGTCTCTGGCGAGCGGAACTTGAGGAGACTCCTGGTAACGAGATAGGAGGAAAGACCAAACGAAGCCGTCATCCCATCTTACGGAGTTGTGAGGTTAACGAACCATCGACCAGTGGAGGTCCTGAAGAGGGTTACACTGAAAGGAGAGTATAAAATCGGTTAGGTACTGAACCGTAACTGTTCACGCCTGTGGGCTTTAACAGAATGGTGTAAATTAAACAGTACAGACAGATTGTAAGCTGGCCATAGGCTAAATATGTGTTAGGTGTAAGCATGTTGTACAACTAAACTGTCCGTCTAGGTGGAAACACTGGGGATAGAGATGGAAGGGATACCGAATATGTCCAGAAGATAGTGGAACTACTAATATGAATCCCAAAATCCATCACCTTAAGATCCACTCCCCCGAGGAGTCAGGGTAGGGAACAAAAGGGAGGGAAAATACTCGCCTCCTGTCCTTATTAAAATTAAGATTATTAGTACACTAAAGCTAGCATAATCTTCAATTTTATAACATGACAGGAGGCTTCCTATTTTGCAATTTTAACGCTGAAGAAGTGACATCCCAGCAGAAGGGGGAGTGCGAAAATAAAATGTACGGAAAGTGGATTCCCTAGACCAGTCCGCCGTTCGGAGAATATCCGAGAGGGACGCCCCTGCCAGGAAGGCTGATGAAGCCGTCGCACCGCGAACGGAGTGGGCGCCGAACGCGGGATCTATACCTGCGAGGGAAAGGATCCAGCGGATTCATCGGGCCAGTGTGGTGACCGAGACTGGGGCGTGAGGGCGCACGTAGGAGACTAGGAGTTGGCCCAACGTAGAGGATCGGAGTGAGGAGGTAACGGAAACATACCTGCGAAGGGTGGACACGACACAGAGTTGCGGGTCGTCGGGGGAAAAAGGGGTAGAAGACCGAAGTCGAACCCGACCTAGTGCGGCGGGAAATGTGGAACGTGACCCCTTCCGGGGCCACCTCGAAAGCGTCCACGTCGAAGGCCCTAACATCCGAAACCCGTCGGAAAGATACTAGACAAAGGAGAAAGCGCACTTAGCGGATAGTTGGCGTAGGGAGAGGCGGTCATTCGGAAGCCAATCCCTGAAAAAACGGAGAACCAGTCCCACATCCCATAGGTGAGGGTATCTGGGGGCCGGGGGGCGGCGGAGCCGCATACCACGGAGTAGACGGCAGACCAGAGGGTCTTTGCCGACCGGGAGATCCCCGACGGGGGTGTGAGCCGCTGAAATCGCGGAGCAAACGACGTTGACCGAACGGTAAGAGCGGCCAGATGAAAACAAGGAGGAAAGAAAATTAAGAATCATGGGAATAGATGCAGTAAAGGGATCGGAGTCCCGTTCCATGCACCAAGTAGACCCGGAGGCCCAAGCTGAAAGGTAACAGCGTCTAGTTCCCGGGGCCCATGAGTCCCATAAGAGGTCCCTAGCAGTCTGCGATAGTCCGCTGACTCGCCAGGAACCCCGGAAAGAGACCAAGCCACCAGGGGTAGCCGGTCTTCCAGGAGTAGTGGGTG